AATTTGAATTATGTATATTGATAATGATGAAATCAATAAATTCATATAATCTATTTCACATAGTAGTTATTTTCTTAATCACATTATTTTAGTAATGTGTTAACATTACTGCACTATTATTGTAACAGTGTAGTTATTGATTTAACATATTCTGCAAAAAAAATCCTATTATTCAGATAATTCGATGGCCTAATCAAATATCAAAACAAGTGATATTTATCACACATAACGCACGGCAAAAAAAATACTACCTTTTTTATCCTAATATTTGTCAAAACACATCAGTTGTTTGTAAAATTTTAAAATTTAATATGTTATATTAAATTACTAAATTTAATACATCCAAATAACTTCATTGATGTGATTAGATTTTATACACTTTTTAGGCTTAGTTTGATCATAATTTTAGTTATTAAAGTTGTATTTATGTTCATATTTTTAATATTTGTCATTAGTTTGTATTAGAGCGGTTCTATGCGGGTATTTTGTATTTTCAGGTACTTTTGATTTTATTTGATTACATTTGAGCATGAAGAAAAAGAATATAATAAAAGTTCAAAGAGGTTTAAAAAAGGGGAAGTTTCTCTCAAAGCAAATGAAGAGAAAGTTGAAGAAAAGAACCGAAAATGGGCAATGGAGGGTCGAGCGCAACCAATGAGCTAAAATGTCAAAGTTGAAAATGTTAGCTGGAAACTTGTTTATTTTGTTGTAATAACAGTACAGCACAAAAAGAAGAAATAAAACTCCAACGTGGGGGAATTGAAACTGGCGATCAGAGGATACAAACATGGCCACTCATCCGCTTAGATGTTATGGATTTTTATTACTTGGACGCACTTATGTGTATATGTACTGAATATTTCCGTAAATGTCAGCAATTAATGATTAACCACCTTATCATTATATTGCCGTAACTCATCTCCTCCCACACATAACTTCGAACCAACCTCTCTAAATTCTCCAGAAATATTTTCCCCTCTTTCTCTCTTCATTTCTCAACCCCAAATCATCAATCCATCTTCAACAACATTTAACCACCTTCTCATCCAAGATTAAGTTAAGATTAGCACCAAAACTCCAAGGATTGTCATCTATCACAAGTTCGATCTTCCTTATCTCATTAAAGATGGAATAACACATATATGATGCTAGCTTCAACCATTGAGATAAAAGATATCTTTCCAAGATATAGAGATATTGACCCTGGATTTCACTATGTTCCTAGTCAGAGTGATTGGTCCAAAGCACATGAAGTGTGTAAATTTCTCGGTATCTTTTATGAAATCACAAATATGATTTCTGGTCAGAGTATCCAACTTCTAACACTTTTCTTGTGGAACTTTACAAAATTAAAGAGCTACTGAACGAAAAAGTTGTTCATTCTTATTTGCATATCAGAAAAATGGCAGAAAGCATGGCAACAAAATTTGACAAATATTGGGCAGAAAGTAATTATTTGCTTTCATTGGATGCATATTTAGATCCGAGGTAAAAAATGGTCCTTATTAATCATGCATTTCCTATTATTTATGGTGCCAGTGAAGCTCCTAAATACATAACAGAAATTCAAAAGCTTCTGCAAGAACTTTATAAGGAGTATGTTGATGCTCACATGGCATCTCAAGCCAATAACCAAGAAAATTAGGCTCCAAAGTGAAAACGAGTAGAAGTTCCTAGTTCTTCTACTAAAGGAACCTCTAAATAGTTTGGAGCACAAGTTCTGACCAGTAGAGAAAAGTTTCAAATGCATGCTAGTGAAATTGACAAAACACCACCTGAAAATCAGATTTAGATGTTTATTTAGAAGAATGAAGGTATGTGTGTGATGTCGATGCAAATCTTGATGTTCTAGCTTGGTGGATAGGAGAAAGATGGCAAGTGATATTTTATCCGTTCCAGTTACAACTGTGGCTTCCGAAGCTACTTTTAGTGATGGTGGTAGGGTCATTGATGATAGGCGAGCTTCTTTGGCTCTTGAAAAAGTAGAAATGCTTCTTTGTGCAAGTGATTGGATTCGAAGTTTGCATGGACTAAAAAACAAGTCTCGTGTAAGTACATAAGAGAGACTTTATCACTTTTCTAATTTTATTTAGAAAATAAAAGAGCTAATTTGAGTTTATCACTTTTCTAATTCATAAAATAATTTGAGTTTGTTAGATACTTAATTATATCGAAAAGTTATTAATGTAAATATAGGGTATGTTTGGCACAACTAGCTAAAAAGATACTTTTACGAGCTTTTTAGTAACTGTTAGCTTTTAGTGACTGAAAAGATCTTAAAAAGAAAAGGTGATAGCTGTTTGGTAAAAAGCTGACTGTTTGATTTAGTTCGGTTTGGTATACAAGCTGTTAGGACTAATTTAAACTAAAAGTCACGAGCTTTTCTCAGATGCTACACCTGGTAGCATCTCAAAAAAGATCTTTTAATTTTTGAAAAGCTCTTAAAAAATGTCATGCCAAACATACAACTAGAGTCTTTTAAGGTCTTTTTAAAGAATAGAGAAGCTAGAAGCTAGAGTCTTTTGTGTGCCAAACATAGCCATAATGTACTCCATACTTAAGAGAGACTTTATCACTTTTCTAATTTTATTTGTCAGGGATCACAAGGTCTTGGTGTATCATCTCACAAGGTCTTAAAGATTGAATATTCTGGATTTTGAAGAATGAAGACTAATTGTTGTTGGACTTCACCCTCTTTTTTAAGTATATGTTTTGTTATTGCACAATTGGCTACTTTTTTGTAAGGAATCATTGAAGATATCTATATTTATCTTTAATATTGATGCATGATGTTATTGTGCTGACTGAACATGTGTTGTAGTTAATAAGTGAGTTTTTCGAGTTCGAGTTGTCGAGCGCGAGCTCGAGTAGCTTGACTCGGGTATATTAACGAGTCGAGCTCAAGCTGTAAATTAGTTTAACGAGCCAAGTTCGAGCACAAATATAGAGTCCAATTCTAACGAGCTCGATACTCAAATAACAACACTAATTACAATGAAACATATTAAATATTTTTTTGGGATAAAACATGATTCTTTTGTAGTAATAAGAGGTAGGACTGCACAAGAATAACCCGAACCCGCATAACCCGCCCGACCCAACCCTACCGACCCTATTTAATCGGGTATTTGATTTTTAAAAATATTCATGGGTTAAATATGTTTGAACCTGCACCTAATGGGTAGGGTTGCGGAATTAAAATCTCAAACCCGATAGTACCCGACCCGGCCGAAGTTCATTTTACTATTATTATGCTACAACGTTTTCTTGAATAATTTCAATTTAAGACCAATGTGCTCTATCTAGGACTTTATGATATTAGAATTATAATTAAACATTTAACATTTTGACTAGGTGATTATTATATATTTACGCTTCCTTCTAAATGAACTTCCTTTACGGAAGGATGTTTTAATACTATCACCTAATGTTTTTGCTTATAAAAGATACGAGTACTTGTATTTCTTTGTGTGTTTTGGAAACAAGTTAATCGAGTTTTAAATTGGTTACATTAATTTCCCACATGAAAGATGCAACCTGAAGTGATTTTTTTCCCCAATACCCGACCCGTTCATGCATGGTTTACCAACTTATTTTGCGTACCGCGGGTTGGTTAATAGCCAACCCGAACAAATCGGGTAGACCCAAAAAATATAGCAAACCCGACCCAACCCGCCCGATGTGCAGCCCTAATAAGCGGTCAAAGTTTAACAAGTACTCCATCTGTTCCATAAAATTTGACCAATTTTCCTTTTTTTGGCCGTCCAAAAAAACTTATTTTTAGTAATAAGCGGTTAAAGTTTAACAAGTACTCCCTCTGTCATTTTCATTTAAAGTAACAAATATGTGGCTAAAGTTATTTCTCTCTCCTCTGCACAAATATCAACCACACATTTTTTTAGTTTATTAATCTACATGGAAGTTAACATTGACCAATTTTTATGGGACGAAGGGAGTATGACTTAAAAAGTCAAACTGTGACTTTAATTAAGGGACGAATGTAGTATTAATTAATATGAAAAATGATAAATTGTGTGAATTTTTGAAAGATGAGTAAACTTTGAAAAAAAATGACATTGTTTAGTACTCCGTATTAAGCAGTGTTTGCGGTTGCTTTAAAAAAGTGCTTTTCAGTTTTTGGCTTAAAAAAGCTAAAAAGAGTGTTTTCAAATGACAGCTTCTACTTAAATTAATCACTTAAAAGCTAAAAGCTGGAAGCAGGTGGAAGGGTGCTTTAAACTGCTTTTCACTTTTTCTATTACACAAAAAGTACTTATTTTACCAAACACTACCAACTTTTACTTTTTCAGAATCACTTTTTTCTCAAACACTACCAACTTTTACTATTAATCACTTTTCCCAAAATCACTTTAAAAAATCACTTTTTTAAAGTTGAAGCAATTGCAAACACTCCCTTAGTATGACATGATACCGTCCCGTTTGAAAATTGAACCGTACCAAACGTGTTAAAGTCTAAGACCGAATCGAACCGTTTAAATAATCACGGTACGGATGCGTGTTCGACGAAATATTGAACTGGACCGGACCGTGTCCACCTATGTTGCACGGAAACGCAAAAATCATGAGCAAATGGGAAAGAGGAAACATCAATTTTTACTCAAAAAAAACTTATTTGGAGAGATTTCGAGAATTTCTAAAACTGGAAACGTATTCTTTCCAAAGAGTTTGTGCAACATAGGTACCCACCAAAACATAGGTCTGTTTACAATAGCTTCTGCTTTTAAAAAGTGCTTTTTTTAATGAAATGGGGAGAATTGATTAAATAAAAGTTGATAGTGTTTGAGAAAAAAGTGATTTTGAAAAGTAAAAATGGGTAGTGTTTGGTAAAATAAGTGCTTTTTGTGTAATAGAAAAAATAAAAGCACTTTTGACGCGGAAGGCGAGAAAAATAAAAGTTGTAATGTTTGGAAAATAAATGTTTTTTTAAAGCCAAAAGTTGAGAAGTCCTTTTTTACATTTTGACATTTTCAAACCAACCCAAATCCCCTAATTGGCCAGGATTTCACATTTTCACGAGCTCAAGTCAACGATACTGGTTCTGATTTCTTGCCCTTCCAGTCCCACCAGCGCCAAAACAACTCAATTCTTAGAATATATTGTCATTCGACCGGGCAACTTCACAGGAATCGTTATTGTCATCAGACCACACAAGAAACTGTAAAAGCAATATCATGGTCTGGGGTCTCTTTCCTGTTGACCCACTCCCAGGTTCAGATTTCCTTACTGGTTTCATGAGTGTTAATATCTTTGTTTGCCTTCGCGCATTGCGGTAAACTCATGGATACATTGCAATGTCGAAATGGGGACCGTCCCTGCACCATCAATGACTGGAAGAGTGAAATTTGACTTTTGACCTTGGCATTAAAGCGGCTGTCAAGCCTGGCTTTCAAAGCCCAAAGTCCTCTTACAATCTGTTTAATTTTGTTAAAAGTGCCAGTTGAGTGTAAGCTTGGGCTGTACTGAGTACCCTTTTTGGGGTGTACTATTCATGAATAAAACTTCGACTTCCAATTTTGGAACCATCCATCTTCCAACATCCTGTGTAAATGTGAATGTACACTGCACAAGCTTTAGTGCCCCTAGAAGTCTACCATGCAGTGGTGTTATAGCAATTTCTCAATATATATGTGTGTTCACATTACCAGGTGTCAACTTTGTTATCAAGGATGAGTTTCATTTTTCATGTGATTTTCATCATTATATTCAATAGCGTTTCATCATTAGTTATGTTATGAACTATCCAGTATTCCAGTGTACACTATACTATAACTATAGCCTATAGAGAAATGGCTAGCAATTTCATGACATCCTCATTTAAAAATCAGGGTCCTGAGTTGACAAAAGGACTTACTTGGTGTAATGCTTTTATTTTGAATTCAGGTTTGCCCCTGAAGTTGTGAACTGATATCAAATTGGATTTTTATTGTGATAGGTGAAGATAAATACTATTTCATCAATAAAGGAACATATAAAGTTGGTCGGAAAGGTACCCTGGACAAGAATGGTCCATTTTCAGATTCACAATTATAGTCTATTACTCTATTAGATATCATCTATGTTTATATTGTTTGTCGCCTGCAGGATGTGATATAATTGTCAACAAAGATAAAGGAGTTTCAAGGATCCATGCAGAAATCATGATAGAAGAGATGATATATTTGGACAAACTGCAGAAGCATTCGGATGTAGTCTCGAAGGTTCGGATAAGAGACTGTTCAAAGTATGGAACCTTCCTCGACAACAACCTTACTTCAAAGGTGAAGGTTCATGAACTTCCAAATAAAGAAACAATCCTTAAGGATGGGGACCATGTTTCATTTGGTACTGGCAGTGCAATATATAGGTAATTGACATGCAAGCTAGCGCTAATAGAATCATCTTCTAACTGTCATCATCATAGTTCCTGTTGTTATTACCATTATCATTATTATTTTATTACTTCTTTTTGAGAGACCTCCTTTCTGAAATATGTATGTGTGTGCGCGCGCGTGGCAACATGTGATTCTTTGCAGGTTTTCTTTTGTTCCCCTTGTATTTTTCATTTGCTCATCAGACAATTCTAAAGTGAGTCAAGTTATTACAAAGAACTTATCATCCATAGGTGAGTGATTAACTTGTATTCCGTATTTAACTGGGGCAAACAGTTTCTTTCATCAATGAAGAAGCTATCTGCAAAGCTTTCTCTATTTTTATCTTCAGTTTGTACTCTAGTGGTGATCCAACTTGTTATGCCTAACCTATATTTGTCCTAAACTGTTTCTTTGACAGTTTGACATTCTTTACACTACAGGGGCCGGTGTAACCAGAAAATGGAGTTCAATTTGCTCACATGTACTTGTTGAGGGCTCCATTGCATTCAAAGAAGGATTATTAGATGCTATTGTTGCCAGGAAACCCTTTGTCAAATCTAGCTGGGTTGAGGTATAATTCATCGAAGTGCCTAAAAACTGATTTATTCCTTTATTTCTAAGATAAACATAAAAATGTCTCAATGGAGATGATAATGAAAGATGGATATGTTGGCACTTGGCATAAAAGTTGATGTAAGGTGCAAACAGAATCAGTTGAAGACTAATTGGAGCTGAGCTGATGATATTAAGATATATACTGTACGTGTTCAATATAAGCCTCAATATTTGTTGTAGGAGATAAGCTATATAAGAGTATAAGAGTGTACATTGAAAATCTATTTATTACATAGGTGGTCTTTTCAGAAATGACATGTAAATTTAAATTCAAAGTATTGTACCTGGCTTAGCATTAAAGAGTGTTCCATGAAGAAATATTGTTCATATAGGAGATTGCTTATCAGTTATTAACTTATTACTGTACAACAAAAAACTTAAGCACTATGATAGGAGTAAAGAGCCTCAGAACTATTTTAAAAGATACTACGTATCAAAAGTTAGAACTGTTGTATTGCAAAGAAACATTTAGAGAACCCATGAATACAAAGATGTAACCCAACATGTATGAACTAGCCAGAGCCACAAGGCTTAGTTTATTCAGTGCTTCATTGTTACTGGATGACCTCTTGCTTCCTCTCTACAGGGTGATAATCATCTTCCCTGGTATGGTATGTATAAACAAATGGGATACATGGTCTCTATTTTATGGTATAAATAATACTTAGTACTACGTAATTTTATAGTCTATTTCCAATTTTGTGGTCTAAATAATAACATATATCTATTTTCTTGTTTGTCTTATTAATTTACTTGGTTTTACACATCTCTATTGCTAATTGATATACTATGAATTACAGTTGGTTGCAGGAAATAATATTCTAACTGACATTCCCAGCTGCAATGCGTAAGTATTTGCACTTATAGTCCCATGCAGGATTGTAATTTTGTTTTAGCTAGCATTGTGATATTTTTCTCACACAGGCATGTTCCAACCTTGATGCTCGAAGGAGCACCGGTTGAAGTTGCTGTCCCCGAAGCTCGAGAACGTTGTTTGAAAGCATACACATTTATACTGGGTGTAACTAACATGGTAAATATTTTCATTTCGTATGTATAAAAACCTCTTGGTCTAGGCTTCAACATTTCCATTTGTTCTAGATATCTGAGAACAGATGAGATTTTGCCGGATGTTTTATACTGTTCTCAGTCTGTTTTCATAAGAGCTCGTGTCAAATTGACAGATCACAGAAGTATTGTTGTTCTTTAAGACTCATAATTTATACTTCATTTTCAGTCCAACTGAGACTGAAAATGGTAGCGTTGGTGAAATCTTTTTTACCTTGGTGACAATAAGAGCCCCTTTTACTTTGTAACTTAAACTGCTACTATATCTTGACTGTTGTCACATACCGATGAAAGTGTTGGTGAATTGTTTTTATGCTTTTCTTGTCACAGTATAAACTGAAAGATAGATTGCAGCCATTATTGGAAGTAAGCGGTGCAAAAGTTTCTTCTATGGAAACTTTCTGCCCCAATAGCCAGGTCTCTTCTTGTTTTCTCTCTGCTATTCGTGGGCCTCAATTGTAGTGGGCAGATTGCCTGCGTTTACATAGGCAAGACTCCCCAAAGTTTGATTATAGGGTGGGGTCTGATAAATATTTCTTTCATATAAGTTTTTTAGTAAATTTGCACACATGAATTTTTTAATTATCCATTTGGGGTGGGCGGGGGCCATGTTGGCCCACCTCTAGTTATGCCAGTGAACTTGCCAAAATCTTTGCATTTGAATAAGAAGTTAAGAACAACCAATGAACTGAAGCTATCTATGTGACCGTTTAAGGAGACTAATAAAAGCTTATACTATTTTTTCATTTTAATCTCTTTTACTTTATTTAGTTAAAGCAGATCTTTTAAATATTGAGCTCCCAAAAGTCATATCCAAAATCTTAATGCTAATCCAGCTCACTAATGCATAACATGCTTATTTTTTATTTCACCATATAGGTCGTGAAGGACGGAAATGACAAAACCATACTAGTGATTCCAGAAATATCAACAAACTTCCAATGCTTTCGTGATAGTTCTTTGTCCAGGGTAAATGAGATGGATTTAGTTGCTGCTGCTTTATCTGGACATCTGGACCCTTCTTTGATCATTTCTCCACCAGGTGAGATTAAATGAGCCAGTGATTTGGCAAGATTTGAACTGACTATTTTGTGTGGGGATTTCTGTTATTTCCAGTTTTTCTCTTTGCTGCAAAGCTTCTGTGGGCGAAGATTACCATGGTAATTTTCAATAGGCAATTTACAAAGCTAATAAATGTGTTGTGGAGAAACATTCATTAAATGCTACTTTGGCTTACAACTACTCCTCTTTGAAATATTTGAAGACTATATACTCTGTACCGGAACACTTGCTTCTCAACTTGGTTCTCCATTAGTTTATCCTGAGTAGACATTACACCTATTTTCGTATGATCTGAGCATCACACATTGTATCTTCTCTTGTTTTACTATGCATTCATTTTAATATAACATATCTACCACATCCACTTCGGTCTATTATATGGTCTCCTAGAAGTTTCCCTTGATTCTTTAAGCCTTCAGGGCACATTATGATATCATAACATTCTTGACGCTCGTACCACTTTAACCAACATGCATTAATCATGTCTCTTGCATTATTACTTGAAACTATTGGTCAGTGGTAGCTCTTATCCATCCGACTTTGCTCTACTTGTTTCTAAATATCTTCAATGATGTTGAAATGTTGAATTGCTCTCCAAATATTTTTCTATTTATTCTAATTGACCACTTGGTATCATTCCATCTTTCCCTCTTCACATTTAACCCTTCTGAATTCATCAAATAAACATGGTAGATGGTACTCCGTACTAATGACTATTGTGTATGTAAAACATACACCACAATAGCCCTTTTTATTAGTACTAGACAACTCATCCATTAGCAATGGTTCTAGTGTCATTCTTCGTTGTTTGAGTGTGGTAGCCTGATGGGTATGTGTTCTATCAATATTTTTTAGTGATACGCCCTTATTTCTCATAGCTCACCAATGGAATTATTTGATTACCTTATAGCGAGTATTTTCTTAATCTATATAGAATAAAAAATCCATCTTTATTTGTAATCGAAATATCAGATCCATGAGTCAACAAATCCATCTTTCTTTGTAGCCGGATAGTATTTCATTAGTTATCTAAAAAGATAATCGCTTATGTGGTTGATCGTCCAGGCATAAATACAGAATGATTCTTCGATACATATAAATACATTTCCTTAATCTCCTTTCTATCACCCATAACTTCATGGTATGGATTGGGTTTAATTAATTCATTACGTTACTGGTGCCGAGCAACGACCTAGCGCCTTGGCGGGTATCTAGTCCGATATTTAGAACAGAGGTTTTGTGAATATTTTCAGAATTCAGATGTTTGTAGGATGTGTTGTGTCTGCAAAATACAGGGTAATTTATTATGTGATGATATATGACATTGCATTTTGGTTATAGCAGAGAGCTTATTGAGGTTTAAATTGTTTCAACTCATGTAAATAAAAAATGCCAGGTTAATGCTAGCTAGTTATTGGGCATAGTGCGTACAACTTTGTAACTATGTTTTCTTTTGCATGAATTAATAGGGTGCTTTTAGATCCCTGAAGATTCTAGAAATCAAAATAGAGAGGAAAATATAGGAGAAGTTTGGAAGTTAAGAAAATATTAAAGATAATGAAGCATTGGTTGAAACTCAATATAATTCGTTTTGTTATTTTTTTGAATTCATTTTTATTTGTTTATTCCTATTATGTAAATATATACTAAGCAATCTAAACATATGTAGAATTTTAAAAAATTAAAAGCATTAATCATATTTCACTTTACTTTCCATTTTCTCAGGCAAATTAAAACATGAGAAAACAACCTCCCTTTTAACATTTTCTTTCCTTTACCTAGCTGTTTCAGGGATTCACGTAGCCACATTGTTACCTAACTTTTGAAAAATAATTTGCACCATACAATTCATGTTAAGCTTTAGCTCAAATTTTATGCACATCCTGGAATGGCCTCTTGAGTCTCGACCTTCATTGATCTCCATCACAACATCTTATTCAATATGTGATTTTTGTTTCTATGATAGAATCTTTTATCATTTCTTTTGCTGATATATTTGCCATTTGCTTGTCTTTAACTAGTGAAAGTCTCATCTTCGTGCTCCACGGACGAGACTGTCGTAGCAGATTCAGAGGCAGAAACAGAATGTAGCACTGAATCAGTTCGTGATGCTGTTCCATTATGTGTACTAGACTCTGATGATGAAGGCAACAAGGAAACAACAGCCTTACATGTTATTGAATCTCCGGAAAATTATATCAAAGATGAGCATTCTATGCCATTTATCAAGCCTATAGAAGATGATCAAAAGAGGGGTACTAGTTATGTCACATCAAAATCAATCAAAGATGATCATTCTATGCCATTTATCAAGCCAATAGAAGATGATCAAAAGAGGGGTACTAGTTATGTCTCAGCAAAATCAACCAAACATGATGAAGATCGTGAAATTCCAGAAAACAATTCTTCTGCTGATAAGTCGGAAGAGGGTTGCAGCAAGATGTCAGGAGTCAAAACTGGTAGTAAAATGTCAACAAGAATTAAAATTGACAACTCTGAAAGTGGGAATTCAGATATTATATTCAGCCAAGATTTGATCATTCGAGAATGTAACTTGACAGCTAAAGTGAAATCTGCTTCAAATGTTGGAGTTGCAAATTTTAAACGCTTCAGAAAGGTAAACTTTTTTTTTAATACGTAGTATTAAATGCAAGGATGTTGTTGTATTAAATGCAAGGAAAGGGTAAAAATGCTAATAGTTATTTTCTTATGGTTGTACATTAGAAAATGGAATAGGAGTTATAATTATTTATTTAAAGTGTTACATATGTTTATGTCTCTTAGGCTCTTATCCTTTATATAAGAGATGTAAATAAATTAAAATGATTGTCAACAAACATTTTAAAACTACCTTCTTTGAATTTATGTTATTTTTACCCCCCCCCTCCCCCCCTTCTGGCTTTCTCACATTCTATCTCTTATTTTTCCTTGATATTTCACGGCCTCCAGACATACCCTTATTCACTTCCATTTTGACCTAATTGGGTCTTCATCTCCTCATTGGGCATTAAATCTAGAAAGAAGAAAAAACCAGAAAAGCTATAAAGAAAAAACATCAAGATTATGACAAGTTGGCAGTGACTAGGGTGATGTGGCATTGATATGGCAATCATATGACAAATGTAACTTGGGAACTTGTTAGTAGCCTGCTAAGTTTTAACAATGCTAATTGGATGTTATTAATGTGTTTATTTGTATGATTGAGTGTTTGTAGAACTGTCTAATTGATGAATTTGAGCTAGGAGGATCTATTTGACTGTTTTGCCTTGACTTATTACTCTCTAACTCGTGCACTCGTGGTGTAACATTGCAGACACAAGCACCATCTGGAAATAGCTATAGCAGCCTGATTCCATATGCAAAGTACCCATACAGGTACATATATAAGTATATAATTGACCCTTGCTACAAGATCAGCTCGTTTTGCGCAATGATCAATAATACTAATTTTGCTTGAGAGCAGAGAATCTGACTACAATAGCAATGAAGTAGTGGAATCTATAAAAGAGGAGAAGAAGAGAAAACAAATGGAGGCTAGGGCAGAAGACTTGTTTAATGAGAAGAAGGTGCGCATCTGTAATTACATGTTCGCTCATGTATGCTTATGTCCAAAAACTTCCAAATTCTTTTGTTTAAATGATGCAGGATAAGCGTCGCGGGGTGGCGGGTTCTCTACATGGAGTTTTAACTCGTGGTTAACAAAGGTGATTTAATTTGTCTCTCACTATTATGTACAAGTAGGATGGCATTTCTACATTCTTTTCTCGAATCTAATGATCCTCATAAAATTCTTGTAGATCGGCTTTTGGTTATCAACTTGGTTGTGGCAGGATTTTACCGATTGGATTCAAAATATGCTGCTGATGATCAGTGGATTTCAAAGTCACTGCGGCGATTCAGCTTTATGTATAGAGTTTATCATATTCCCCATACTGTTCAGCTATTCTCATATATTAGTTTTGCAATTTCTAGCCATTAGAAATGAATCTCAGCTTATTCTCGACCTGTTTTATGTGTCTGCCTAGTTAACTTATTAATTTGGATTGTTACTCTTATCAGCCAGTTTCGTTAGATATTTCATATTGGGGTGTTTGAATTTGATTCTTAAAATTGCTTCTACTTCTTCAGTGAGCAGTAACGGAAGTTGGAATGTTTGGGTGAAAGTATATAAATAATTTTGGTGCCCAATTTACTCCTTGAAGCTGAAGATCAGCTTATGAAAACTAAATTTGATTATGCTTATGCTTAAAAAAATCAGAAGTATAATCAGTTCCAAACATTCCCATTATACCAAATATACTTTGTTCTAACTTTTTATTATTCCGATTTTATGAAACATGTATATTTAATTTTTAGTGTAGTTTTTGACTTTTTGGGAATTATTTTAATGTAGTTGAAATACAAATAAGTTATGCATAGGGATGTATTGGTTCCGGGTCTTGGCCTCTTGGGTGGGTCAATTTTTTTGGGAGTAGTCTTGTATATATATATATATTTATATATTTTCTTTTTTTGTTTTCCTTATTTCATTCTACCCGGAGTGCAAGTTTGGTGGAGGTAGAAACAGTGGTAATAGTGGAATTACTCTAGATTAGGGATGGACTCGGGCCGGGCGGCCCGGCCCGGTTACTGTTTGAACCGGTCCGGGGGGCGGTTCGGGTCGGCCCGGCCCGGTTACTGTGCGGTTCGGGCACGGGCGCTTTGATTGGCGAACCGGCCCGGCCGGTTCGGGCCAAATTATTATTATTATTATTATTTTTTTGAATTTTTTTAAGTTTTTGCGTTGGGCTTGGTATTTTGGGCCATTTGAGGTGGTTTGGGGGTGAGGGGGAGGGTTGGGGGTTAATTAGGAAAAGCCAAAAAAAAAAAAAATAGAACCGAGGCCCGGCCCGGCTCGAACCGGAACCGGGATTACCCGGGTCGGTTCCGGGCCTCCCATTTCTGAACCGAGGCCCGGCCGGGCCTAGGCCCGAACCAGGCCCGAACCGGAACCGGTCCACCCATACTCTAGATGGTAAGGAGATACCGGTCAGTAATATGTTCCGTTACTTGGGCTCCATAATTCAGAAGGACGGTGAGCTAGATGGAGAGGTATCCCATAGAATCAGAACAGGGTGGATGAAGTAGAAGAGTGCGTCAGGTTTTCTATGTGATAGAGATATGCCGATCAGACTGAATGTTAAATTTTATAGGACAATAATTAGACCTGTATTGTCGTATGGCGTAGAGTGTTGGGCGGTGAAACAATGTCACATCCAAAAGACGAGTGTGGCAGAGATGCGCATGTGGGCATACTAGGAAGGACCACGTGAGAAATGAGACAATCAGACAAAAGGTGAGAGTAGCACCTATTGAAGCCAAGATGCGGGAGTCTCGCCTACGGTGGTTTAGTCATGTGCGTAGAAGACCGAATGATGCACCTGTCAGACGTGTTGAGATTAGGGATGGACCCGGGCCGGTCCGGTTCCGGTTCCGGGCCGGGCCCGAGCGGGCTTTTTTTCGGGTTACATGGGCCCGGAACCGGCCCGGGTTGATACCGGGTCCGGGCCTAACCGGGCCGGGCCGGGCCCGGTTCAATGTTTTTTTTTTTTTTTACTTTCTTGTTATCTCCCTACCCCCCCCCTCACCCCCACGCCCCAAACCTCCCTAAAACACCCAGCCCTACCCTAGGAAAAGAAAAAAAATTGGAAAAAAAAAAAAAAAATGAACCGGGCCCGGCCCGAACCGCCCGGGCCGGTTCAACAAAAATAGGGCCCGGAACCGGCCAGCCCGACCCGCCAACACGGGCTAAAAGCCCGGAACCGGCCAACCGGGCCCGGTCCGGTCCGGGCCCGCACAGTAGCGGGCCGGTCCGGTTCCGGGCCGGTTCGGCCCGGCCCAGTCCATCCCTAGTTGAGATGTGTGGAGAAGAAGCAGAGAAGAGAGGAAGAGGAAGACCCAAACAGATAGGGATGGACTCGGGCCAGGCGGCCCGCCCCGGTTTCGGCCCGGACCGGACACTGTTTGAACTGGCCCGGCCCGGGAACTGGGCCATAGGGTGGTTCGGGTTGACCCGGCCCGCTAGTCATACGGTTCGGGCTCGGGCCCTAGGAATGGTGAACCGGCCCGGCCGGTTCGGGCCCGGTCCGGGCCATTTTTTTTTTTTTTTTTTTTTAGTTTTTGGGTTGGGCTGGGTATTTTGGGCCATTTGAGGTGGTTTGGGGGTGAGGGGGGAGGGTTGGGAGTTAATTAGGAGAAGCCAAAAAAAAAGATTGGACTGAGGCCCGACCCGAACCGGACCCGGGGGTTACCCGGGCCGGTTCCGGGCCTCCCATATCTGAACCGTGAACCGGCTGGGCCCAGGCCCGAACCGGCCCGAGGCCGTCCCTTCAAACAGACGTGGGTTAGGGCAGTCCGAAGTGATATGCTTCTTCTTGGGTTGGTGAGGGTATGGCTTTGAAGAGATCAAAGTGGAGGGCGGGCGGGTAATCGTTTGGAGGAGTGATCTCGTATTATTGTTATTTCCCCTCATCTTTTCTTCTTCTTTTTTATTCTTTTATCCTTATATATAAACATTATTTTTATCCTTTTTATTTTATCATTTGTAAGTATATTCATCCCGTTTTATATTATCTTTTTTATTAGTTTTTTTTATTTGTATTTTCTTTCTTTTCCTTTTGGTGGTGTTATCATGTATCGAGTCATGTTAGCCGACCCCAATATCTTTTGGGACTAAGAATTGGATATTGTTGTTGTTGTTGTTCGTTCCTACCCCCACCCCCAAACACCCCCAAACCTCCCAGCTCAACTCGCCTACTACCCAATCCATTCAAAAAAATAAAAAAAAGAGGGCTTAAGCCCATGACCCGCCACAAATCCCCCCCGGTCCGGGCCCCAGGCCAAGTCCCGGTCCCTGTGGCATTCCGGGCCCGGTTTTGGGCCGGTCTGACCAGTCTCAGTCCATGCCTAATTATGCATGTCATTCATTTTAGGTCACTTTATGATTCAATGACATCACTATCTGACATTTTAAAAAGGAGGGAACATGTTTGAAACTCATCCTAATTAAGGATATTTTCATTTAACAAAAAATACTACATATAATATAACACGCCAGTAAGTACGTACAACAAACAAAGTTATACATTTGGCACATTGCTATGTACGGAGTATAAATGATCGTTTAGATACGGAGTATTATTGCACTTGTCCCGAAAAGGGAGTCACATTTGACGTGGGTATAATATTATGAGTTCAGTTACACATAAAAATGATGAATCCTGTTCCAAAAAAAATTAAATCCTTTTGATACTTTTGAAGTTTTATTTAACGGTTAGCTAAATTTATGATGTGTACGTGTCTATTATTATCATTTAACAAAGTTATATGCTACATAGCCTGGTTTTTAATAGAAAACGATTTTTGAGAGAAATATATTTGGAACAATATTCCGTTTTTAAGAATAAAGGCCTTGAGGGGGCACCATGTGATTAAATTTTATTAAATACTCGTTTTAACTGACCTAGATCACTGTACAAATGAAGTCATTGCTTAGATTTTGATCCCATATCTATGGACTCGATTTCGTGCCAAATAGCTCGTGTTAAATTGTTTTTGACACGAGCTTGACATATCCATGCCAAAATTCCTGCAAATTTTGGAGAATAGATGTTAAAAATATCTGTCGATCTCGTGTTTTTTGTAGTCATAATGATACCCTACTCAAAACAATATTTTCAATGATGTCATAAATGATATCGTACTAAGAATCAATGGGCAATGGCCATGGTGAAGTCACATAAACTATTACGTAGTAGTATATATCACTTCAGAATGGAGCCATTTTAAAAGGAGCTTCAAAATTTCAGTTTTTTTTTTGTTTTGTTAACGTTGCTTGATTGCATGTTTTGCACTTTTGCTACTGATTTTCTGAAGATAGGGGATGGTTTTGTGTGTAAAACTGTAAACCGAGCTGCCTCATCTTTGGTATGAACTTTCTTTGGTTTCACTTTTCCGCTCAAAGATGAAACATGCAAGCACGGGTACGAGAATTGTTTATTTTAGTTTGACTTTATAGGTTGTATTTTTAGATTACAATAATTTTTTTAATTGTCTTTCCAAATATGACCATCTAAGAATTATGAAAAAATTATTTCCTCTATCCCGTTACTTTATCAATTTAGTATCAATCCATAAAACCATTTTTTAATAATCCCACTATCTCCTTATTTACCAATGCTAATGGGTGGAATTGGATGGAGGTAGTAATAATTAGGGATGGACCACAACCAGGCCGACCGGCCTGACCCGGCCGGTAATGTTTTGAACCGGCCCGGCCTAGTACTGTTTTGAATCGGCCCGGACCCGATAATCGGGTCCTAGACCGGTCTGGCCCTACCCGGCCCAGATGTTACCTAGAGCGGACCCGGGTCATGTAAAATAGGAAGTATAAATGTGATTAGTAATAGCGTATAGTAATAGACTAATGTAATAGACTAATATAATGGGTGAGTCACCTAAATAAATCGTCACACACTTTGTTGGTACCTCAAAAGTCAAGAATATTTGGCGAATGTTCACAAAGTAAAAAATATCCAAACTCTTGATCCAAGATTAGATGCTCATATTACTTGTCGGTTTACTTTTATCTACGGAGAATTATAATGGGATAATTTGAGTTTGCACCCCACATTATTATCTAAATAGGACTTTGCACCCCGTTTTTAAAAATCTTTGTTTTTGCACCCCAACCCCATATGAAAAGACAAAAATGCCCTCAATCAGGAATATGTTGAAGGTCAACAAAATTGTTAAAAGAGTGGCATTTCTGTCTTTTCATATGGGGTTGAGGTGCAAAAACAAAGAGTTTAAAAAACGGGGTGCAAAATCCAATTTAGACAATAATTTGGGGTGCAAACTCAAATTACCCCAATTATAATACGGAGAATTGTTTATTCATTCATTCTATATTTCGGTGTTTGTTTGTGGACAGACAATTTTGTGTGTGTGTGTGACAGACGAGTGTACGAAAGGTGTACACCAAATTGTGTACACCAAGATTTTTCTAAAGAAATTAACTCGACCGCAAACTTATTTTTGTTTATAAATTCATCTACTAGTGTCGTAATTGACCTGATAGGAAGGTTGCCACAAGGGAGA